CATTAATTGTGGCAGTCTGTAAAGGCTCTCAGTGTATACTCTTTAATGCCATATGCACTTTGTCTATGGCCAACCCCTTGTTATATCATGGAAATATTATTCTGCACTCTATGGCAGCTGGTGATTCCTGTGTCATGGACTGGTGAGTCAACTCTGGGTTTTAGTTTGAACTTGAAAGGCGTTATCCAAATGCTGAAACCAATTTTTGAGGTGAGGGATCATCACCTTGGATAGTTCCTTTAAAATTCATCTTGAAATCCAGAGAGGATTCTTTGGACTCCTGACATGGAAACCACAAGATTCCACAGTCATTGAGGAAAGTGGAAACTGTTAGTTTCATTCATTATTATTGTGTGCCTTCAAGTCATTTCCAACTTAGGGAGACCTAAGGCAAACTATCATGGGGTTTTCTTGGCAAGATGCCATGTATCTGCATTGTAGAAATGAGGTACGTTGACACCACTTAATGGCCATGGCTCCCTCCTATAGAATCCTATGGTTAGTAATTTTCTGAGACGTCAGCACTCTTTGGCAGAGAAGGTTCAAGACCTTGTAAAACTACAAATACCAGGATTCTATAGGATGAAGCCCTGGCATTTAAAGTGGTGTCAAACTGCATTATTTCTAGAGCATAGAAGAACTTTTAGTAATGTTTTGGGTTAATAGTTTTTCTGTATCATTGGACAGGGAAGAAAACAAGGCCAAAATAAAGAAAGTCATATTTATTTATTTAAAAGAACAACAGAACAATGCAGCAGTGGACTTGTTCACCTGTATTCCTCTATTCCTCAGAGGAGAAAAATAACCTTTTCTCTTGATACAGGAATCAGGTATTGATCTGTCATACTGTTTGTTCTAGCACAGTTCCCAGAGGTATGTTCAGTTTGAAACGTTAAGCCTAGTTCATTAGCCGTCCCTAGCTCATTTCTCATAGAGAATCAAGATAATACTGTGGTTACTTAATGGCTTTCTCTTGTTTTCCCTCGAGTCTGCCTGTCTGAAGTCTGTAGGCCCAGGAAGCTTTCTTCCTCCCTTCTTCTCTTATTATTTTTGTTTTTGTTTAAAATCACTATTGGTATACCAGTAAAGCACACCAGAGCCTGCACCATTTTGAAACAGCCAGAATATGGAGTCAGTATGCTATCTGCCGGTTCACAAACCATGTATTTATAGGTGGAAAGAACATCAGGGAGATATGGAAACTAGTGAAAACTGTGGTGATCTCAAGTTAAAGTGTTTTTTTAAAATAGCTTTCACATCAGATCTATACTGGAGATGGAAAGAAGACCCCTAAGTTACAACTAAAATTTCTTTTCCAGCAAAATTTCAAGTGAACTTGGTTGGTATCCATGAGAAAAACAAACAAACCTTGAAATATGCCATATAAATATTTTGATAAAACCTTCTGGGGTAGTTCCACTAATCCCATGATTGAAAAATTCAGTTACTTGCATGTTCCTCCAAGATAGACGTTGGACAAGATTCTGTATTGGAGCTGTTTCACATCTCCCCATGTGCAATACAATCCTTATATCAAATGGCAATGTGGTGCAACTGAATGTACAGCTGAATGTGCATCTGCATGTGCAAATCCTTGTGTGCATGCACCTGGAAAGCAGAATGGCATCACATGTGTAATGCTGCTTCTTCAACCTTGAATTGAGTTCAGTCATTCCACATTGTACAAATGTGTCCAGCTGCTTCTGTAAGAAAAAACTTATACATGTGCACAAGACACCAACAGGATTCAGACTAAAGTGAGACATTTTGAGAGAAGTGGAAAATGTTTTCATGGGGCAATTTCTCCCTTCACATTCATAACTTTGGCCCTCCACATACCAATAAGTCCCATAATCCCTAACCAATAGCTCTTATTGCTTGAGGATGTGGGAGTTGTAGACCAAAAACACCTGGAGAACCACATTTGCCATCAGTTGCTGATAGTCATGTGGAAGTTGCCTCCTGGAATTCTCCACTCTGTTTCTGGACAGAGAAACTGGGAGAACCATTTCACCATTTTATTTTATTTTTATTTCCAAGGAGGAGAGGAACATATTACAATTTCTCTGTGGCCACATCTGCACTGCAGAAATAATGCATCTTGACACCAGTTTGAGTGCCACAGCTCATTCCTATGGAATCCTGGTATTTTGTTAGATATTTAGCCTTCTCTGTCATAGAGCTCTGGTGCCACAACAAACAAATCCCAGGATTCCACAGCACTGAGCTATGGCAGTTCAAGCAGTGTCAAACAGCATTATATCTGTGGTGTAGATGCAGCCATGGATGGAAGTCACACACACCGGGGGGGGGGGATCATGGAGGGATGGCAGCAATTGTATTAGTAGCCTGTGCAGAATTTTGCACCATCCACAATGTAGTATCATTTCAAAACATTCTGGGGAGAAGGAAAATAGCATCTTCTGCAAATAATTGGTACAGAACATTCAAATAAAGTTATGCATGAGAGGAACAACTAGGAAACTTTTGAAGTGGAGCAAGCTTTCCCCCTCTTCAGAGCCAGGAGTCACTCTGCCTGTTCAACATTTCATGCTGCCGTGGGGGTCCCCTGATATCTGTATCTGTTGTTCATCATGGTTAACAGCTGGGCACTCACAAGCAAGAGTCCCTCCCAAGAGCCACCTCTGTAGCCATTCCTAATGGAAGTTGTCACTGTAGTTGGCTTCTGTTTTGAACACACTTTGTCCTCTCCATTCTAAGTAATTGCTACAGCAAAAGAAAATGGATACAGTCATTCTAACAAGGAACTGTCATCACTAATGTTGCCCAACAAAACACATTGCTCAATGGCCTGAAAAGGTTTCCCTTCCAACTTGTTTTGTTTCCACTATTTAGTATGTGTTAGATGTTCTAAAAATGAATACCTTTCCCTCTCCCAAGTGTGGGCTACTGGTAATCACTTTTCAGATTTCCTCTATGGCTGTTCTTCCTATTGGTAAAGCCTTGTGTCAACCAGTGCCCAGTGAATAATCTCTCTTCTCAGTATTAGAATGCCAGTGATCCCACATCATTTCCCAGCTGTTTATATCTTACTGGGTATTAGGTCCAGCAAGATCCCAAGATCAGAAAATCAGGCTTCAATAGTTAAAACTTAAAAAACCTTTATTAAGAAACTGTAGATCCAGTCTAGTAATTTTCATAGTCAGAACTCACTAGCAAACACTATAACTGTTTAAGTAAACTACATGCAATCTTGAATTTCAGATGGGCTTAATTCTTATTTATTATAATTAATATACACTTTTCCTCACACTTTCCAATACCATCCCTTTTCTTTGTTGTTACAACAGAATCATTTTCACAGAACCAACCTTGAACAGGCTTGGCTCATACCTGCCTCCCTTCCAGCCTTATCTCAACACCTGGATATGAGATTAACACAACCCAGCAATATCAACATTACTCTCTATCCCACAACCCATGATCCCCAACGTATTATGGCAGGCAGGTTGCCTATGCAATTCCTGACACTGAGTCAGTTACTTCGTGTAATCAATAGATGGTTTTTAATAAAAAGCTCACAAAAGAAATTCAATGAGGAACAAAAGCAAAGCTCTGCCAAACAAGAATTCAAGAAAAATTACCAAATTGTTTATTACCACTGGTGCCCAACATTCACTCAAGCTATGGCAGCATGGTAATTGCTCACATTTTCCAACATGAGCATCCAAGGAAGATGCTGATTCTATTGGAGCACCAATGCACTCAATACCTCATTCTCTCTCTTATATATTTAGCCTGGGAGGAGAAGAATGTGTATTAATGATTCCATGTTTACCATTTTGCATCCTCTATTTACATTTGCTTTGGGGGATGGATATGCTACAGAGTTGTATGCAAACTTATGAAATAAAACTTGGAGTGCTGGTAAGAACTTCATTTCACATATGACCTTTTACAGTAATTGGATCTGAATTATAATCAGTCACCTGAGTCCTGAAATAGATAAAATAGTTTTTTAATGTTAAAAAGTTTTAGCCCTTGGTTGATTATCTATCAGTGCTTACAATCCTGTGAAAATAAGATAAATGAGAAATTTGGTCTCTAATTAGACTTCACTAGATTTACAGCTTTTAATTTCTACGCCAGTGCAACTCGGGCCGGGAGTAACACTGATAGAGACGGAGGCACGGTTTTCAATTGATTTAACAATTTAATTGCAGCATTAACATCCATTAACATTTAACTAACCTTTTAAACTAACCTCAGGCACAACCTTAAAGACTAAATGAAGTAAAATTGCATATAAAAAGGTAGTAACGTACAGCTGTAAGGAGCTTGAGTGAATTTTTTTAGGGTGATTTAGCATTGCTTCTTCCTATCAGGGGAATGGAGTCTGTTTTTCTTCTTGCAAAATTCAAGAGGTATGTATATTCTCATTTATAGGAAAAGGAAATAGACATGTTTAATGGCTATTAAGTCTCATCTAGATCATTCAGAGATACGTGATGTCTGAAAGGTCCTATATGCAGAAAGAGACTTTAATGACATCGAAAATCATCAAAGTATGTTTGATGTTCAGATGGTCTTTGTGGGGGAAATCCATACTGAGGAAGTGGAAATATTCCAGTGACATTTAGTAGGATGGGAGGATGAGATTTTAGAGCAAAGTAGTAAAATAATGGCTGTTTCCCAAGAGGAAGAAGGAAAGGAGGAAGAAGAAGAGGAGGAGGATTTTCATGGTCCACCTTTCCCCCCCCAAAAAAGGACTCAGGGCAGCTTACACATTAAAACAGATATCATATGGTTAAAACATACAAAGGCTCAATATCAAAATGGAATTAAACTATCAGCAGCTTTGAAAACCAATTGGAACCTACAATTAAAAATAATGAAAAGTAGTTTATAAAGAGTACAATTAAAGGAATTGTTCATTAACTAAATTTTAGCCACTGGTATTTCAGAATGACTATGCAACTGCTGGATTAACATCAAAAATCTACTCTGTCTTGAATGAGAATGCTTATAGTATGTAGAGTGCCAGCATGGCATAGTGGTTTGAGCATTGGCCTATGATTCTGGGGTTCCCTAAGACCAGGGTTCAATTTCCTGCTCAGGCATAGAAATCCTTTGGGTAACCTTAAGCAAGTCACATGCTCTCAGCTTCAGGTGAAGGCAATGGAAAACCTCTGAACAAATCCTGTCAAGAAAACCCCATGATAGTTTCATCTTAGGGTCATCATAAGTTGGAAATGACTTGAAGGCACATAACAACAAATGGTAATGTAATGGGTTCAAAACTCAACTAGGAAAGAGATCTAGGGATGATCATAGAAGATAATTTATGGCCTCCTTATGGAAAGCCACTCTGTTAAAACCAATTTCAGCTAAAATACATGAACAATGTTTTGAAATGGCTTATTGATGGTATAGTACTCCACTGAAATTCAGTTATATAAATAAGCAAATATTTCCCAAATGTAGTGCTATAGGTACATTCTTTCACATGTGGTGATGTTGTCCAAAAAGAAGTTTTCAATGAAATAGACAGAATAACAATTTTTTTAAAAAATAGATGTTCCCCAGTCCTGGGCTTATTCTCTTTGTTTTTAGAAGAAAACAAACATCTTATTGGTAAAAAACAAACAAACCCTAATAGCTTTTTTTTTTTTTTTTTTTTTTTTGTCTATCAGCTCATATGAAGATTGCTCAAAATGGAAAGGACTATGCAATTTTACTTTGGACTCTTGGTATGAGAAGTTGTGATCTCTTGCACTATCTCTCTCTCTCTCTCTCTCACACACACACAATATGACATTCTTTTAAAAGCCTTTTTCATTACAAACATTACATTCTCAAAAGCCTGTTGTGTTATGGGGTGTGTGTGCAAGGGTTAATGAAGTCATATTTCAAATGCAATACAATATTGAGAATGAATTTATTCCACTGGACTAACAAATAATGCTTCCTAGTTACTTTTAATCTTTCCTTTTAAGATCGTTTTCAACATTTTAAGAGATATTTTGAAAGGGTTAGTTTAAACTTTGTGCCATTTTTTTAAAAAAAGAAATAAAAATAATAAAAAAAACCCTGTAATGACTGGCCACTTCCTCATTAGCTGGACAGTGAATAAGCTTCAGGCTTTCCCTGCTTTCGACTACATAGGCAATGTGCAAAACCTATTTGGAAGAGAGGATTTATCATCTTGGAAAACCCCTTTAAAGTTTGGATGACAGCTCAAACAATATTCACTGTTCCACTGCCATGGATGTTATCAGCTGCCATTGTGAAAAAGCAATGCAAAAGAGGAGTTACTTTTAAAGCATTGTAGTGAGTGCTCAAATTACTTAATTTTTTTTTAACTTACCAAGCTCAAATGATCCCAAAGTCATGAAAAAGCAAGCAAGCTGAGAAGCCGGTTGTCATCAAAGAAGGGCTTTCTTAAGTCCTAGTACTTTGGTTCAGGTCCCTTTTATGATGCCTTGCACTGGAGTTGTGCAAGAGGTGATTTAAAACCCTTCAGCCACTAAATGAGATAAATCATAGCAGGCTTGCTGTTCTGTGTAAGAAAGAGATCTTTCCAAATTTAGTTATCACTCACAGATCCATTGATTAGGTGTTTTGCAGCTGAAACAATTTCCAGAACCATCAATATGTCATTTATTGCCTTTAATTGACCTTGGAAACTGAACCGGTTCAGAGGAGGTCACAGTAAAACTGGGGTTAGACAGCTGTTTTGGTCTTCTGCCCAAACTGTTTGGAAATCATTTTTTCTGGGCTGCAGTTGTCCATTGCTGATCTTGAGCTATACAAGATAGACTGTGTCTCTCCTTTGCATATGTAGTCATTTATTTGAACTCCACTAAAGAACTCTCAACAAGAAGGTTTATGTGCAAAATTACGTGGCCTTTCCAGATACTGTGAAATCCCAGGAGCCAATATAGCCAATGATAAGGGATTCTGGGTATTGCAGTCCAGGAAAATAGCTAGAGAGCCACGTATGTGTCATCCTTGATTTAGAGAAGTTGCTATTGAACTTCTCTTCAAGGCTACTACCAGTCTGTTAGAATTTGGATCCCTCCACCCCATCCGTCATAACCAGAAATTTGTGTCAGTTATTCTCTCTCAGCAAGTTATGAGGATAAAATGAGTATTTGAGTGAACGTTGCACTCTTTTGCACTCATTGGGTAGTAAAGATGGGGTACAAATGTAACTTATGAATATATAATAGTTGATCAGGATTTGGGAGTACAACAAATCCCATTAGATAGTTGTGTATAGCTACATGGACAACTGTATTATTTGTTTGGTTGTTATGGCCACATGGGATTGGTCTAGATCAGAGATGGGCAACTGCATCCAGTCCAATTTACTCCAAGGACCATTGAGAGGTTTGGAAAACTGGTATTTTATTTTTAATGTTCAACAATGTAGGGAGTTCCTGTAACCCAGGGCATGTTTACATGATTCGTTTCCATCCATTTTTGCCCACTCTTCTGTTGCCCTGTTCATATGGGACAGAGGCAAAAGTCTGATTCAACTGTGGACTGTCTTCTCATGGAGAGGAGCTGTA